GCCGGGAGGCTGCGGGGTGGCCGGGGAAGCTTTACGGGCTTATCTCTCTAGAAACGAGGATATGGCTTTCGTGGCTGGAATGACAACTCTGTCCCCATTCTGTCTCATTTGAGCCAGGAACAGGAATCTCCTCGCTGCCTGCTGACCTGCCCTTGTGCAGAGCTTCTCCCCCCACCCCAGGCGAGAAAGCCTCTAGTAAGCCCACAGGAGATTGACAGTTTGTTAATGCTTTGAGGTAGCTCGGCTGGAAAGCCAAAGAAGCCTGCTAGGAAAGGGGTGACCATTTCAAAGCTAAAACTAAAAGAGCAGCAGAGGAGGGTTAGGTTAGATGTCAGGAAAAGGTTTTTCACTCAGAGGGTGATTGAGCACTGGAACAGGCTCCCCAGGGAAGTGGTCACAGCACCAAGCCTGACAGAGTTCAAGAAGCGTTTGGACAACACTCTCAGGCACATGGTGCGACTCTCGGGGTGTCCTGTGCAGGGCCAGGAGCTGGACTCGATCCTGATGGGTCTCTTCCAACTCAGCACATTCTATGATTCTGTGATTCTGTGATTCTGTGACTAAATTTGCACTCTTAACTTTCACTGGGACAGAAAGGATCATCTCTTGAGCTGATCTCCTTCCCCCTGCACAGTGCTCCATCAGACAAAGCATTTCAGTATTCAGCTTCCCTTGCAATCAACATTCTTTTTCTGCTGAGTGGAACAGGAACCTTCCTGCTGTCCTGCATAAAAGACACTGGGGCTTGCACTTGGATGCAAGATTTTTTTCTGAGTCTGAGGCTACTTTCATTCCCAAAGTCCAGCTTGTTAAACAAGGGTTTTACAAAACGTGATACACCTCAAAGTGCTTTCAAAACTCTTTACCACAATATGCAAACATTCTCCCTCGGTGCTGTTCGTGCAAACAGCAGCTGCTGGGCGGGTTGAGCTGCGCTGAGGTGCACGAGATGTTCAGAAGTTTGCTGTGACCCAGCTGGCGTGGGGACCAGCGAGGGAAGATGTGATGGGAGGGCAGGGACAGCCTCCCCAGAGCCATCCAGCAGGGACTGCCACTGAAGGGTAGGTGCACATGACCGTGAACCTGCATTGCAAGTTGGCACTTGACTGCTGGTAACATTTCGTTTAATACTTATACTAAATTTTAGTATTTAAGATGTTATAACCACACAAGCTCCAGAGCAGCAGTCTGTGGAGCCTGTGCTGGTCAAGCTCTTTGTCACAGTACAAAGCTGAATTGGGGCAGGTCTGCATCTGTGACCATCGTGCCTGTGGTGCAGGCACACCCCTCTGACAGAGCCAAAAATAAACAGGTTGGGTGAAGAATAAAGAACACAAGAACACTTTTTTTTTTAAAGAGCTCTTTCAGTCACCCCACAGTTTGACTTAACAGGGCATTTAAGAGAAATATTTAAATTATTATTATTATTCTAAGTATGGGGATACATTTCTTGTCTCTGGTCTGCAGACCAGTGGTACCAACACTTTTTTTGTTCCAACTCATAGTTTTGGGATGCTTGAGATGGGCCATATTGGATCACATGTATCCTTTCAGCTTTAGTCTGTTGGATATCTGACTGCAACATGGGCAGCAGCTGATCAAGCGTTTTGGCTTTGTTTCTTCTCCAAGTTACATATGAAAAGTGTTTCAAACCATCTACCTGGTTTACAGATTAAATAAATGCTTCCCATTCATATGCTCTAATTTCAGTGCAAATAAAGTATGTAAAAAGATGTTTTCTAAAACCTCGTATCTGATACAGACTGACATTTTGGGTGAGCTGTGCTGTGAATTGGAGATGTCACCCATGCATGGTTCCCTACTATGCAGAGAGCCAGAGGGGACCCAGAGTCCTCATCAGGCGCTGGGCAAACCCACCCTTGGCTACTTGATCTTTGATTTCCCCGAACAATTCCTTCCTTCTGAATTTAATTCAGTGTGAGAAGGAAGAAATTATACTTTTCTCCATGGTCACTCAGCTTTCATTTATCCGCCACCCAACCATTCTCTGGAAGCTTCCTGGTCTCTGACAGCACAAGAATTATTATTAGCACAGGCAACAAGGAGGTGAGATCCTGGGGAGCAAGCACAGGCAGAGCTTTATGGTGTGTTTACAAAAGGTGGCTGAAAAGGTGACATCAGTATGTACAGAAATGCAGCTGCCACGTCGACACTGTGCGTGGCTGTGGGTTGTGGTCGCCTGGGAAAAAAGGTGAAAACCTGCTGGGATAATTTGAGGGGAAAAAAAAAATCTTCCTTTGTGGTTCTTAAAGCACACCTTTCTTATCATAACATTTGTGATTAATGGGTATTCTGGGCCTGCTGAAGTCAGTGCCTTTGTCCTGAAGATCCACATATGAGAAGGTCTGGAGTGGCGGATCCACCAACGCTTCATGTGTGCCGGCACGTTTCTATCCTGGCTCCCTCCTGCGATGCCTTCCTCCTCCTCCTCCCCCCCTCCAGACCGTGTGCTTTGGCAGTGCCGCTTCCCCCTCTGATCCTTATCTCGCTCTTGGCTGCCGGGCTTGCGGGGCGAGAGGGCGCGTTTCTGCCTGACAGCCAAACAGCGCAACCCCAGGGCTGAGCCGCAGGAATGCGCTTCCCGGAGAGGAGAGCTCGGCGTTTGGAACGGCAGCCTGTGTTTGGTAACACAACCCGGCCGTGACTGCTGGAAAACGTTACCCTCCACCTCTGGGCCGGGGCAGCTAGAAGAGGCTTTAAAATCACAAATTAAAATGCAAATACGACGGGGAGAAGGAAAGCTATCCTGGCAAAGGGAGAACAAGGTGCTCAGCGATGCTCATCACACACTGGAGCTCCGTTTTCTCTGATTATGATTGACCCTTAGGAAGGGGGTTTGAGGCACCAAACTGACCAAGCTCTATTCAGTTATTGATGAACACAATAACTCAGAATCAGCAAGAGCCTTAGATGGGTGCAAGGAACCGCCTGAGCCTGATTTAGCCCAAATTCTCCTTTTCCCATCTGAGCTCTGAGGATGGCAGCCCCCATCCTTAAATTAGCTGGGGGGTGATGGGAGAGCTGCTTGTAGGGCCAAGGGTTCCACAGGACAGCAGGAGGAAGGAGCCCAGGGGACCCGCCTTGGTTTCCATTAGCTTGGTTTGCTGTGCTGCAATTTTTGACTTAATTTCATTGTTTGCGAAAGGAGAGTTTGTAAACGCTTGTCACCAGGAGAACAAAGTTACATAATTAAACTATTTAGCAGAGTCTGTGGCTTCAGTGAAGTTCTCTGGGGTGATTCAGCATTCCAATAAAAATACTGTGTGATACCATAAATATTGTAAATGGCTCTAGATGGTTTCCAAGGGCTATGTCAACTGCTTTTTTGCATTCAAAGAGAAAAGAATAAGTGAAATCACAGGGAAGATAAAATTTAAATAAATAAAATAAATGGGAAAATAAAGCAAAAATATTTTCTTTTGTATTTTGAAAGCTCTGGAGGCTGTTTTTGGCCAGCATGAGAGAAGACTGTCATGTTTACCAGAATAATGAACTGAGGGTATCTCTGTGCACTTGCTTATAGGTTGTATATGTGAGTCTGTGGGGGCATCTGAGCATGGATGCTTAGATAAAATCTGCCCACAACATGGGGAAAAACCTTTTTCGTTATTTGAGTGTTTGTGGCATTTGCAAATTCCAGCCACAGAGCCCAGGAATGCACATCTTTCCCTGGCCAAGCTGTCAGTCTCCTGCCACAGCGAGGGCAGCTGAAGGAGGATGCCACGGGTGGCCAGACTTGAGGGATTGGATTATCTGTATCATTGAGAACTTGGAAAGGATGTTTAAAAGTTGTTACTGAAGAAAGACAAATATTTGCCATTTCCCACCGTGCAATGACAAGTAAGCTGTATGGAATGTGTTAATAAAATATAAATGCTCCGAAAAGGAAACAAATGTTGTGGATGTGAAAACAAGGGCAAAATGGACTTGTGGCACCTCCAAAAGCAACAATTGAAAACATATTTACATGGACTGGGCTGAATTCTCTTATGTCTTCTGAAGAACATAAATGGCAGTGTGTGCAGATCAGCCAGTAGAGCAGTGGTTTTTCAGGGTGCCATAAAAACCCAAATACTGGTCCAAATATAATGAGGTTTGTCCATCTTCTACTAAGATGGAGATGTGGGTCTTGGCTGCTCAAGGAAGGGGGACTCACCTGACTCACTGAATGGCCTGTGACAGACTTGGGGCAGAAGCTTTGGTGCTGCCCAGCATGGGGACCTGAGGTCACACCACGCCCTGCTGCAGGCTGGCAATCCCCTGCAGCCTATGGGCAAATCCCTTCTCTTCCCCAGCCACAAACAGGGCAGCTGTACTGCATCTGCACGGGCTCCAGCAGAGGCTTTTGGCACATGAAGGGCCAAGAGCCAGTGGTGGATCGTCCTGCTGGTGATGTCCCAGAGGTGGAGTTGCCACGGTGATGCCCCAATGCTGGAGCATCCTGGTGTTGTTGTCCCGGGGGTGATGCCCTGGCAGGGGGCTCTGAGGTGGTGCTGGGAACACCTCGGGGGGAACCACGAGATCGCACTTGCCACTTTGAGAAGATGCACATCCAACATCTCCCTCACAAGCCAAGGGGCAGCTGCTGGACTCGCTCTTGCACTGGCAGAAACATAGAATGCACTGGCTGGGGAAGGCTCGGGAACGAGTCCCACCATCCTGCAGCTACTCAGTATCCCCCCCCACGGCCGAGGCGGGCAGCGGGCAGCAGGACTTACGGGGAGCAAGCACAGAGAGAGGGTTTGTAAGAGACAACACCGAGAGCGACACGGACAAAGCGGGGCAGGGCGCGTTACAGCGAGGGCGGCGGGGGCGGGGCTGGGGGGGGGGGCGGGGCTTGGGGCGTTCGTCCCGGGGAACCGAGCACTGACGGAAGTCGCCGGAGATCGCCGAGGTTTGCCGAGCACTGACGGAGATCCCCGGAGATCGCCGAGCGTTGCCGAAGCGGCGCCCCGCGCACGCGCAGTGTGGCGGCGCGTCGCGGCGATGGCGGCGGCGCAGGCGGAGGCGGGCGGGGAGCGCTCGGGCCCGGCCGGGCCCGCCGGGCCCGCGATGGGCGCTGTGGGGGCCGCGGGCCCCGCCGCGAACCACCGCGAGGCCGCGGAGGCGAAAGAAGAGCTGTCGCCGCCGCCGCTGCCGGGGCTGCGGCTGGTGCAGCAGGGCGCCGAGGCGCACGTGTACCGCGGGCTGTTCCTGGGCCGCAAGGCCGTGGCGAAGCTCCGCGTCCCGAAGCGGTACCGGCACCCGGCGCTGGAGGAGCGGCTCAGCCGGCGCCGCACGACGCAGGAGGCGCGGTCGCTGCTGCGGTGCCGGCGGGCAGGTGGGCACGGGGAGAGGCGGGGCTGCCCCGGCAGAACGGGCAGACGGACGGACACCCCGGGGCGGTGTGAGCGGGGCAGGACAGACACACGGACACCCCGGGGCGGTGTGAGTGGGGCAGGACAGACACACAGACACCCTGGAGTGGTGTGAGCAGGGAAGGACAGGTGGACACTCCTGGGCGGTGTGAGCGGGGCAGCCCCCGCAGGACACTCCCCCCCCCCCCCCAGTCCTCCCCGGCTCTGCCCGTGGCTCAGAGCAGATCGCAGGCACTTGGCACTTCCAGCGCCATCCTGAAGGGTGCGGGGGGTTCTTCTCATCCAGGAGTGACCCTCTCTGCTCGTCCAGAGCGGCCCCTAAAACACGGCTTGTCCTCGGTGTGTCCCATAACGTGTTTTCCTGGAGAGTCTCACCCCAGGAGGGGCTGATCCTGTTACCAAGCTGAAGCTGCCAGGAGGTTAAAAGGCTACCAGTGCAGGTGGGTTGGAAGTGTTGGCAAGGCCCTTCCAAGATGTGGATTGTCAGTGGCTGGGGGTGATCTCAACCGGAATTTCTACTTAAGGCTTTTATTGGTTGTGTTTTGTTGTTAAAGTTGGGAATCACGTAAATTAGCTGTTAGCATTTGATTTGCTCTTTTAAATAGGGATTCCAGCTCCAGCCGTCTACTTCGTGGATTATGTCACCAACTCCATATATCTTGAAGATATTGTAGACTCAGTTACAGTCCAAGATCATATTTACTCTGTACAACGGAGTGGAAATGATACCAGCAGCCTCCAGGACTTAGCAGAGAAGATGGGTGAGCTGTTAGCGAGGATGCACGATGAGGATATTATTCATGGGGATCTCACAACTGCCAATCTCCTTCTGCGGCCACCCGTGGAGAAGGTGGACTTGGTGTTGATAGATTTTGGACTCAGTTTTATTTCAGGTCTTCCAGAGGACAAAGGAGTTGATTTGTATGTTCTGGAAAAAGCCTTCATTAGCACTCATCCAGATACTGAAATGATGTTTAAAGCTCTGCTGAAGAGCTATGCTGCCACATCTAAAAAATCTGGTCCTGTGATCAAAAAGCTGGATGAGGTGCGACTAAGGGGAAGGAAGAGATCCATGATTGGGTAGAAGAGGGCAGGCTTAGGGATGGGGAAATATTACGTTCTGCAAATAGGGTTATTTATATTTCTAGTTGGGTTTATTTCACATATCACTATTTTGATAACTGTGTCTTCAAATAAATAAATTTGAATGAGTTTAAGTGTCGTAAAGTAACCAAAGTAATTGTGAGATGGGAGCACAGCCAAGAGAGAACTAAAGGTCACTTCTTTCCTAAATGTTAAGTATTTCATCTACGAAATAGTTTGCAGTGTCATTCCACTCGTGTTCTTTGTGTGGTTAGAATCATTCAGAGTCATCTTGCTCAGCCTGCAGACCATGAATTTGTGGGATGTTCTTACCTGGGAGTACCTGAGCATCTATAAAAGGTAACTGAGAAAGAGAAATGTGTTATTTTAATTTTAAAAATGTGTTATTTTTCTCAAAAGACTTTACAAACGAGGCATTTAAATCCATTATAAATGACTCTACACGTCCAAAATTTTTTCTGGAGACCTGAATTCCAGGACATGGGCAATGCTGAAATTCAGCACTAAACATAACCTGGGTTTATTTTCTTCTGGTAGTAATTTTGGCTTTTTTTCACTTTCAGTCTATAGTACTTCCTTAAGGAAATAAAAACTTGTTAATCAAGAACACTTTTCTGCTGAGAAACTTCCACTTTAAGCAAGAAGTCTGCTGTGAATTTCCATTTCTGACGCTTTATAAGAGGGACTGCCCAGTTGGCAGAGACAGGTGGTAATATTCTTTCTTGTAATGTTTTCTCTATATCAGTTCTTTTTCTGGTTTACTCTGTCTAATGTGAACGTAAGATGTCCCAGAGGAAAAGCCTTACACACCCTGGGTGGGTTAGAAGATAATTGGCCCTCTGTACTATGAGCAGGTTGGGATGTGAGTTGTGCCCTTGCTGAGTGTGTGAGCTTTATCATTTACTGCAGGTAGTGATGGAGAAGAGACAGTGAACTCCTCCCTGAGCGATTTGCTGTGCTGGGCAGCCTTTACCCATCCTCTGTTCTCTGGTGCTCTGTCTGAAAATGGATAAGAGGGAGCAAAGTGTGCCTCACCCCTCCACATCCATAGATGTGTCCGGTACGGATCTGCATCCACGGGGGAGAAGGCAGCTGCGAGAAGCTGCTCTGCCAAGCAGGGGAGGGGTTTGAAGGCTTCTGTCTCCGCGCTTAGAGCAACCCGAGCAAAGCGCTCGGGGCCGGCGGGACCCCCTTGGAATTCTCCTCGGGCGCGGAGCGGGGCGGGCGGGCAGCGCCGCGAAGCACAAGGCGCCTCCGGGATTACGCTCCCACTCCGCGCGGTGGCGCCGGCGCAGCGCTGCCGCCTCCCGCCCCGGCAGCGGCCGGTTCGCGTCCCGCAAGTGTCCTAGCGCGGCGGGCTGCCCGTGCCCGGCGCGCATTCACCTCTTGCCAGAGGAGCCGCCTGGGCGAGTGCCCGGCCCCGGCGTGGGGTTCGGGTTCCACCGCCCAGCCACAGCTTTGGCTGCCACTGGCAGCGCTGTGGTTTGTTTTTACCGCCCACGGGCGAGGAAGAGCCGTGTGCCCGCGCAGGGGGCTGATGCTGCCGAACGCTCTCCTGCCTTCCCGGGGAGCGGCTGCCCAGCACACGGGCACTCGGATCGGTGCTGCTGGAGCCTCGTGGCGCGGTGGGAGCGGGTGGATGCGAGCAAACGAGGCTGAGCCGAGCCCCCGGTGCCAGAGGAGGCTGCGCGCCCGAGCTCCCTGCCCGCCGGCCAACATCTGTACAAACACCGCTCTCGCTGTCTCCCGGTGATGCCAGGATTGAGTTCTGTTTTCAAAGCCCTTTGAAGAAGCCTGTTTCTAACTATCGTGGTGTTTATTAAAACGCAGCTCCCCCCGCGGGACGGCGGAGCAGAAACAAAGCCGATCCGCGGGGAGCTTTCGGGGCCGGCGCGGTGCTCTGAGCCGGGGCCGGCAGCCCGTGGCGAGGCCAGTCCTCTCGGGGAGCTGGTGCGTGGGACCGGCCTTCGAGCAGGGGCTCCTGAATTGGCCTTTGCTGAAATCAGCTCCGTGACGGAGCTTCAAAACAAAGCAGAACTTTACTGGTCATGAAAAGCAAAAATGTTTTGCTTTCTCACTCACTGCGTGATAAACTCCTTCTCGTTATGTAAGTGTTACTTTCCGCACATCTGTGTTACGGCTTTGTTGATATTTCCTCTTGATCAGCCTGATGTGTCGTTTGGTTTGTTGTAGTGAATGCTGAGCTATTGCTGTTTGAGGATGGAAAAATCTCAGCAGGTGTTTGTCCAGCAAAAGAGGACACTCCAGACCTGCAAAATGTCCACCCCACGTCTTCTTGCAGCCTCAGCTGTATCACTCCACCAGTCCATCAGGAGCTGGACTCGATGATCCTTGTGGGCTCCTTCCAACTCAGGTTATTCTGATTCTATACCTGCAGCAGCACTTCACTGGATGAAAACCACTGCTTCCCTGGCTGGTTCACAGGGCAGGTGGAGGTTCCAGTCTTTGTTTGACTGGGAATAGCCTGACATACTGCTGTGTTAGCTTTCCATGCATCTGTGTGGTCATAAGTGACGCTGTATTATTATTATTATTATTATTATTATCCATTGCATTATTAATTCTCAGGCTTTATGTCCAGTGCATGTGCATTCTCATAAGGAAAATGGGACTCCTATTTTCTTCTCTTTTTTCACATGAATAGTTTATCTGCTGCAAATAAAATTTCAAGCCATCAATGTTCTTTCAGGGTTTGGTCTGACTTTATAAAAACAGTCCTTGCAACCCAGTTTAGCTCATTTGAGTTTAACTGGAGAACCAACAAAATAAAAGCTACTCTTTTAAGTGAAATCAAAACAATAATATTTGGAAAGAGGTAAATGAATGGAAGTGGGAAGATGACAGTCAGCCCCACCCTTTTCAGAGCACGGGTCTGGACACTGAGGATGGTTACAGCTCTGTGTGACACTGGCAGAAGTGATGTCCTGCCCTGGCTTACCCAGAGAGGCTGTTGTCACCGGCCCCAAAGGCTGTGTTGGCCTTCAGCCCCTCCAAAACCTTCCTGCTTGCCTTCGGGGGGACCCTGAGACCGTGGGATGTGAAGGGTGATGGCTCGTGGTGCACCCAACCACTGGGGGTCTCTCTGCCACCATCACTAACACTGGGAAAATCCGTATGTTTTGGGAAAATCTTTGAACAGAACGTATTTCCAGCTGTGTGCTGGATGGACAGCTGGTCACTCTGGGTCCTTCTGCTGATTGAATCTTTCCACTTTTAAGAACAAATTGTTGTCTCAGGGGACCAACTCCAGACCTGCCAAGAACAGCTTCATTTCCAGGGGCTTCCTGGTGCCTGCTTGATCTGGCTCCACAACTGGACCGAAGTGCCACAGCACAAGGAGGTGCAGATAAACTGCAGAAAGAGGAGTTAAAGGAAAGAGGGAAGAGAAACAAAATGGAAATAGAAGTGTTTTATTGGCAGCATTGGGATTTCAGAGGGAATCACGGGTTATTGATGGAATTTCCTTGTCTGTTTATTTTGGTATCTGACCATCACCAGTGATTTCTGTGGTGGGACTGGGAACCAGCTTACAAGCTCATGGATACCAGCCCGACTTCAGTTTGGGGCAATTATGCTAAGCTTTGTTTTGCCCACGGATACCATGAGGGCAGAACTGAACTAAGGGGAATTTTCAAGATAAATGTGAGTTGTAGACCTATAGGAGCACTAAGAGGAAAAAGGGACATGAAAAAAACCCCACATACAAGCAAGGAACAGGGATGAAGATACTGTTGCATAATCTGGGAATGCTGTTGCCTTGACTTTTGGACGGTGGCAGCTCTGTGCCTGTAATTACTGTGTGTATATATAAAAACTGTGCATGCAGCCTATATGCTGTAGCTTTTTCCAGTGAACTTTTTTTTCAGTCTAGGCCTTGATGTCTGCAGGAAATTGATATTTTCCAGTTTTGCAAGATGCAAAACACCGATAACCTTTTGCAACCCTCCTCTCTCATCAGTGCTGATAGGAAACCAAGTTAGTGCAATAAAAGCATAAAAGCTCATTTGTAACCCAGGGTTCACTCCGTGAGGGTCACTACAGATAAATAAAGCCTCTCCCTGGCCCAAGCACAAACGGTGTCCCACAGTGGTCCCTTTGGGCACTATGCAGCACCTTTTTCTTTTGCTAATAAACCAGACTTACTTTAAGTAGCAGAGAATAATGGCCCAGGAGTGCAGTGAGGTCTGATGCCAGTGGTAGGGTTAGTGATAGGGCACAGCCAGGGCAGCTGCAGCCACTGCTGGCACTGGAAATGGGGGCGATAGAGATGGAGCTTACAAGAAAACAAATTAATTGAACATTTTTTCCCAGCTGAAGTCCAGGAAGGCCGAGTGAACCAGCATGTAGCCCCTGCACAATGTGCTCGGCTGGGAAGCGCTGGAGGCTGAGCCAGCATCCACCCCGCTGAGCCGAGAGGGGCCGGGTGGGATTGGGGAAGGGACTGTCCAGGCAGGGACGTGACTTGTGTCTTGGAGGGGAATGTGCTGCTGGTCCCCTCACCCTCCACGCTGCCAGAAGTCTGTATCCTCACAAGAGGAAGAACAGACTGTGACACTGGCAGCTTATTATTCTTTTGAAGCTTTTTTTTGACTTACAAGGTTGATTTTGAGAGAAGAAGTTTTGTAGAGCTCCTTTGCTCCAGCATGCGACACACACTCATACAGGGGCTCCCAGCCTCTGACTCGTGGCTATTTTGGGTCAGCTGAGCGTGTTTTAGGGAATTCTGCTTTCAGGCCGTCAGCCATCCATCTGCCCATCCTCTCCATCACAACCACCACCCGAGTGATGAAGCAGCTCGTGCTACCCCAGCCCACTGCAGGGGCACCGAGGCAGCGCAGCAACCTCCTACTCTTTTTTTTTTCTTTTGTAGTCATGATAACTTCTTATTCACGTCGTTGAGCAGTTAAAGAAAGGCAAGATGAAAATCCCCCATGGCTTTCCCTCGGTCCGCTCCGTGCTTTCTCCTGGGCCCCGGCAGAAGGCGCGTTTGCCAGCGGGGCCGGGCGGGCGCGGGGCCGGGCGCCAGGCGGATGCCGGATCCTCGCCTTGCCAGCGGCCCCCGGCAGTGCCCGGCAAAAAGCCTTTGTGCCCGTTCTGCTGTTTGAAAAGAGCCGCGGTGCTGATGCCGTCACCCTTTAGCCCCTGCCCGGGATGGCTGCGGGGATTAACTGGTTTGTTACTATTTGTGCAAAATTATGTATGTGCCGTTAAGGAGAGGGAAGGGAATGGAGGAGGTGGATCCAGACCCGGAGCAGAGTCCACTCCAAGGCACAGTCCCGTCTCTGATGCTGGTTGTAACACCACACTCTTCCTCTCTAGTTTCTTGTCCCCTCTGTGCCAGTGATCCATG